TGACACTAGAGCGTCCCTACTTACAAATTCTATTTGTAGTGGTACGTGCACATTGTATCATATGACCAGCTTACTTAATAGCAGTCGATTGCATAAACTCAATCAAGTCTTCAGCAAATGATAAGTTTCATTTTTCTATCAAGAAAGCCCAAACTCATTAAACCGCTAATCCTTTCGGGGTTCTAAATAATGGTGAATGTAAATAAATGATAAGCCTTAGCTCCTCACTTATGTAAATAGGCATATTTCATTTTCATTTTGAGACTGACAGCAATCCTATTCACCGCTAAATTATCTGAATTCAAGAAGAATGCTGGATGTTTACAGAGTTGTGATCAATATACCAGTTCAGCTCCAGACGTTATCACGCGTATTCTCGATGAGCTTCAGTGAAACTGTGGAAGGTCTAACACAGTCAATAGTGAGGTGGTTAATGGAGTATCTCATGCTGATATTCCATGGGTCCTCCAATTTCGCTAAAGCCTGCCGTGTGATGCGCGCGCAAAACTGGCATGTATATAAGAACGAATGAGTTCACGTCAATATGCATGCATTCGCATGGGTTCGCACAAATAACCTATGGTGATTTCTTGCTATTCCACAGTTATAAGTCTGGAAATCCGGAAGTAAAGCGCTCCTTATGAATCTTGTTGGTTTCTCAAAGACGTGGATAAGTGGCCATAGCGCCCAGCAAGTTTGAAATCACGACAACTCACATTCAACTTTATCATAAACTTCAGAACTAGGACTCGGAGGGAGGGGGAGAGAATCCGACGCGCGCCCTGCAACTTTTTCCGAGCACCTCCCAACCTCCCCCACCCTCATAGGCTTACTTCTAACTGATCACTAGGTGAATTCGCTTTCCCTAAGCGTTTGTACTACCCTGCACAAGGACTCGTACGACATACTGAAAAACCTTTGCCATAACAATTACGCTTTTATTAGTAAGTAACTTCTGAAGACCTTCTGAGGGAAACCGAGATTAGAGCTGTTTATGCGCAGGCAGCAATGCCCCTTTCATTGTAATAGACCCGACCTCGCATTTTTACCTTTGTGTTTCTTGTACTGCTCGGTCATTGTTTTCAAGATCTTGAATGCATTGTCGATCGTCTCCCTTGTGGTTCGCTCGTAGCTTAACGAAACGCGAATGACATCGTTATCTGCGACCTGAAGAAGGTGAGACACATCAGAATGATTCCATGCTTTTTGTTATGAATTTTTCTGGAAATCGGAAAATTTTCCGCGTCCGTGTGGCAGTTGCATCCAGTTTGTCATAAAGAAAACTAGCTGAATTCGGTAAGGAGTTTTCAAGTCTCATGCCTTCGAGAACCGTAAACTTGAGAGCCCTCCTCATACACTGGTGTGCAAAACTTAAGGACGAGATAGATGAAGTAACCTAACTTATTGATAGCTTTGTGGACCTTTTAACGGTTCCTGTTATTTGCTTTTTGTACTATACTGGAGCAGTTTCTTTATGTGTGGTTAGGTTCCATAGAGCTGTTTTACTCGGCAGTAATACGTCACGGAAAATTTAGGTTCGTCCTTAAGTTTTGCACACCAGTGTAGTATTTTTGCTTCACAACTAGATGATCCGTCCTTCTGAAGCATACAAATAGAGCAGTCAAGCAACCTTCTTCCGTGTCAGACTTTGTTTCTTTAGAGCGCGCAAAGTGGGCTTACACATTTTTCTCATTCAGCCGCACGTTAGTCTCAAAGAGGAAGGAGTGTCCGCTAATTGTCCTGATGGTAAATGTGACCCCAGAACAAGCGCGTTCTCCATCTGAGGTTGTTCTGCATCTATTGAACCGTCGAGTAGTTATCCACACATTCAGCTGCTTTGTTACATTAAGCGTCCGTGAGATGTAGAGTGCCACAAATCCTTAGCGATTTATTTAATAGTTGGAGGATTGGCACACCGTGATGTGGTGGTTTCCCAATTTAGAAACGTATGATGTCTAGCTCAACTAAGAAGAAGACATTGCATCTGATCACATTGTGCACAGAAGAGGACAAAAATGTAAGCATTCAGGTAAAATTGGGTTTGACTGCACACACTCACGATCAGTCTTGCCCCCACCAGTAGATTCCACCCATATGGGAAATGATGAAAACGAACCCGAACGGGCGTGAGATAAATCTTGTGCGAATCGTTCAGTAAGCACAGCAGTCTTAGGGTGTGCTTGTTCCTCTCTTCCTTGGTGAAACTTGGTTCCTATAAATAGTGTTATTCCTTCGGAAAATTATCACTTATTGTATGTTACTCAGAATTGTGAAGTGATTGGATTTCCACTACATATTGCAGCGAAATTTTCCGGAAATACTCTCCAAATTCTCGAAATATCAATCCTTAATCTCTCAGCTGCAATTAAGCAGTAAGTGCCATTAGGGGGTCGCACCAACTCCTGCCGTATTTGACATTTTTTGAGCATTTGTGCTGACGAAATCGCATGAGTCTCACTGGCCGAAGTATATGGATGTACTACCTTTTTTATTTTTTTAGCAGAAAATAAGGTTTCGCGATGAGCCCACTCCTTCTGCAGACCAATGTTTTCGCTAGCAAAATTTGGCGTTTCTGAAGATCATGGGTAGTGAATCATCCCTTTCTTGACGCTTTGACGTGTTCGAACGGCAGCTACTTCGAGCAAGCTCCGTAGAATAGGATGTCAGAGAAAGTCTTCCCCTTTCCACTTCTCCACCGATTCCATTTCTTTCAGTTCCACAGGAACTTTGAGTTATGCAGTTAACAAGCAAACTAAATCAAGTCAAACTAATTTCTATCAGTGGTTTCTACAGGATGGGCAAAAATTAGGGTAGCAAAACTGGTAAATCGATAAAAAAGCAATGTGACCGAAGAACTTCCAAATGAACAGCAGCATTATATTGATGGGAAGTTATCGAGTAGGAAACAGTCTGCTCTTCAGAGTGGCGCTTTTTTCGTTGATAAATAAACTAAGACTTTCTAGAGAGGCATCGACCCTGTAGTATAGGTGAATGTTGTGAGATCGATTGAGGGGTTTCGAGCGAGCGAACAGCTCACTAGTCGGTTATTCTTGCGGCAATGCTTTGACTTCCGACCTCGAACAGCATTTATAGGACTTCAGCTGCGAGAGCCACGTAACTTCTCTAATATGACGAATTCCACGATATTCTGTTGGCATCGATCTTTGAACAAACTGTGTATTGTGGGTAGGCGCCCAATTTTGCTTTGATGTGCTGTGTTTCCTTTTGAGGGTCCTTTCGTCGAAGCATCAAGCGAGACAGAAGGAGTTCGAAACGATTTTTCACTATTCAGTTTCATATCTTGAGCAGCAGAGGTCTGAGGTGTCTTCAAATCGTGATACTGCTCTTATAATTCTGCGAAAACAATCACTGAACAGCTGGTTGGCAATACCCTGCGCTTTTTTTTAAACTCGCTTTACACATAGTAAGAAATTGATAAGCCGTCTTTAACCTTAGTTTTTCTTCATAAATTTTGGGCGTTCATTCGACGACTTTATGACGGTAGGGTCTTAGAGCATGGGACAGAAAGCCTAAAGATTGTTAGAAGACTTTATGACACAAATGACGACGGTGTGATACCCACACTGTATTGGAAAGTGAATAGACCAAAGTTTCTCGATGTGAAAATTTGCAAGTTCGGATGCTGGTCAATTAAAGATTCGAAGTAGCTGGCCATGTCGCATATCTGAACAATAAGTCATGCGTACACCGAACATAAGCTCAATTCTACCTATACAAAATAGAGAATTCATGATATTTTCACCGACTTTATTAACATGGCGTCTTAGACCTTCCACACCACACAGACGCAAGATGAACCAAACTTTTAGAGCTTTGAAACGGCGGCTCAAATGAAGACCCCAATCTCTCAGATCTGTGGAACTGCCTGCAACAGATCGACATAAAATTACCATAAGAACATTGAAATGGTACGGCCACCATCAATAGGCCTTTCTTGTTGTATTAGAGATCTCCACTTACCGTGCGAAGGCTTGAGGTACATCGGAGTAATGGAGAATGCGTCCTTATAAATTTTTTGTTCTCTAGTCCAGATTATGGACAGCGTTGCAGAGTGCAGTAGGAACTTGCTCAGATTTACGTTGATCGTGTGAGCGTTTTCTATTCCTTCACTGAACACATCAACATGAAATTCAACTGAATGCTGCACATCGCTACAGCACATAAACTTGCGAAAAAATGGTATTGATCAGAAAGCTAACTTCACGGCAGAGGTAGTGGAAAATTTATCAAAAGTACACTTGGTCATGGCCAAAACTCTTCGTCCAGGCCAGAATCGAACTCGCACCTTTCACTCTTGCAGAGCAGGTTCGATTCCCTACTGGTGCAAAGAATTTTGCCCATAATTTGCATTCTTGCGAAACCTTTGCAACGCGAACTGCAGCGTTAAGGAATCCTCCACGGAAAAAGCTCCGCCCTCATTACCACAGAAAACGATACCTTAAAGGAATCTTCCACGGAAAGAGTGAGTGATCATTTTGTCTTGTGTGTAAAGTAGTATCGAAACTATATATTACACGCTAAGCGGTTGTGTGTGTGTGTCTGTGTGTGTGTATGTGTTTGTCTGTCTGACCGGAAATTCATAGCTCGGGCACCAGTGGTCGTCAGGAGTTGGTTTCAAGATATGATATAAGGGGTGGGACGGGAACATATTTGTGGTTCAGACAAGTGATAAGCAACTGATCGGCTGATTAAAATCGCTCTAAGATCACGCAATGTCGCGAATTCATACTCGGGCACCAAGCTGGTTGTCAGGACTTTTCAGGATTATATATATCGTGTGGAAGCGCCGAAACATATTGCCCTGCCCGGTACACGAAATAAAAGAGATGAGGAGAGGACTGATAGTAACGATATGCGTACGAACGTAGAGAGCACTTGAAATAGAAAATAGAGAGCAGATTGTAGATAATGCCTTTCATTTCAATATCATTTCATCAGCGTTGTAATTGTAAACTCAAACACCTTTCGACCGCTACACCTTCTAGAGTTCTTGAGGATGAATGGGATGCTCGAATAAATATGATAATGAATACTAGGCATTCCGTTTTGAGATATTCGACCGCTAAATTACCTCGATACGACGCATAGTGGTTGTTTACATCATCACTTTAGCTGTGCACTTCACTGCGCTTATCAAACAGTGAGATACAGCCAAGATGGGCAGCCTATGTAACTGACGGTAAATACATTTAACGAAGCAGCTATAATTTAGCGGTGAAACCTAAAGCTTCATCGATTGTCAGTTCTATCAATGCGCGCGGTAGCGAGCGGAGCTAACGTATTCTTTATAATTTCTTGCGCTGTCCTGATCTTCTCAAGGGGTTTCTGACACGATGTCGAAACCGCTAGAGTTGATGAGGCGCTTGGTGGTGTAGAGCGTAAGTCTAACGCTTGAAACACGTTCAGGCCTCTGAAGACGACGATTCAGTCGAAACGTTAGGCCACTAATAAAAGGTTCCACCGAACAACCTCGTAAGGCACAAGAAAATTGTTAAACTTACAACTGTAGCAATAGTATTATCGAACTAATGCTTATGCTTTGTTCTTTTTGCTATGCTCATGAGGCTAGGGGCCTAAGGGGTATCGTTTCTGTGCCATTAGAAGGCCACACCGGTCAGGACAATCTCCTCTAAGATCGAATATGACTTATGACGCCTCTTTCAGCAAGCAAAACCAGGCCCATCGCGCGGCAAGAAGGCCGAGTCGGCGGACGAGTCGCGGCGCGTGATATGCGGTGAAGGACGTGCAATGGGACATTCCATTTAACTTGACGCGATTTCCCTAATACGCGCGCACGACTCGTCCGCTGACTCGGCATTTTGCCGCGCCCTCTCTGGGGGGTACCCAAACAAAAGAACAGTGGTAAATTGTGCGTGAGCACTTCGATGACTACACAGTATCAGCGAATGATCCTCGCCTGGAGATAAATTCCGTACACCACAACCACAGCTCGCCGCACACGACGTTCATCTGCCACACATCATACTCCATTCCTGCGACGATTGTTGGCTCACGACGAAATGATATTTCTGAAGCAATAATGCGAATCGGACCTA